TATAACACGTCCCTAGTTCTAAACGTGAATGACAGAACAGCGTGATCGCTGTTCACTAACGGTGGAAGAAATACAATTATTTAAACCACTAGGATGGGGCCTACAGTCATTCATAATAAAGTTACATAACTAATTAATAAATACTCGGAAAACTAACTTGACCTAATGGTGGATCCACTTCGATTTCAGTTTCATTTTAGAAGGGACGGGAGATTGGGTGGCCCATGTTTGTCTTAGTAATAGTGATTTCTCAGTTCATTCAACTCTCCTCTGAATGCGTCAACAGGTGGAGCCTTGATTATGTTTAAAGGATAATGGTTCCATCCGTTAACGATTTGATGACAGAATCGTTAATCAATAAACAGGTAATTTGTCTTGAAGTCGTGAACATTCCCCGTGTTCTCGCAAATTCTTTGTCCCAAGAGACAGGAAATATAAAGGTGTTTCAGCTGTAAACTTATTACCAGTTTCTACTCATATGGCAGCCTTGCAATGCAGGAAATCAAGTTAGCTGCCGTTCCTTTTTATACTTCCCGACACATTTCTGCCTTATTTTAGGCAGGAGCTAGTTGCTTGCATGGAATACTTAAGTTTGTAACGAACGGATATTGTATGTAAAGTCTAAAAGATCCTTGGTAAGCAGATGGCTAAATATTTAACATATTGACCACACGGCCATCGCGCGACAGTGTGAAGTGGTCTTCAAGTCTTGGCTAAAGATGACTCTTAGGTCTATGTATACCAGGAACAGATGGCCTAAGGTCATTCACTGTGCATTCATCTATACATTGGAGATCAATATGCATCGTGATGCACTTGAAAGTATCTATCAGAAACTGCTAAATTATATACAATTCAGATGAATCCTATAGATTAATTTGAGGATCTAAACTATCGCCTACATATCTTATGGCTCTCCATATCTCAATATCTTCAGCATACGACGAAACCGATTATGAAAAGAAATTATGTAGGTCATTTCGCACAGGAGGAATAATACTGATCCCACTTAGCACAATTTCTCAGCTACGGAATTCTTCTAACCCTTTAACAACCTCACTTGAGTTACACATAGATAATAATAATGATTTATTCTCAAATAACACTTTGTTACATGAGGCATGCCAGTTTACAGGCAAGATCAAATTGATACAAATGATACAGTATCCACCGTAGTAAATTACATAGATCAAAGCATATGCTATGGGGTTTTGAAATAACATTTACCAGTCCCCTCAGTAATCTAGGACACCTTTCATCTGGTCCTCTAGATTTACATTATTCAAGCTCATTTACACAGACCAAAGGGTTTTTTATTGATCATTATGTTGTAAGGAGGGGTTTGTATGAATCTAAGAAAATAGAATTAGTACTATATATGCATTGGAGAGGTTATTTGATAATACATGAGCATTATCGTAATCATCTTACATTAATGATGAGGTACTACCATCTCCTATAATAATGATATGTTGCTTTTCCTCTTGGTCCTTTATTTTATGTACGAAGATAAGCCTTCATTGTATTCCACAGACTCCCCAATGGGCTTTTCTTCATGTTATTTTCTAGACCTGTGTAGGGTCGAAGCGCAAATATTTCGGGCTCCTTGATATTGATATTTTATCACACCAGTAACCTAAGTCCCTCTAACATCCTTTCCCTATTACAGAGGAGGGTAGAAACCTTACTGAGCTATAGTTGGAAGCTTCTCAGGTTCTCCCATGAATTGCAAAAAACGTGTAATGCTACGACATTTTAATGTACAAATTTCTAAATACTCACAATCTGTTTCAATGCGGGGTTTTTATGTTGTTGTCCAGTCATTTGAGGACACTGAGTGAACAGTTTCCGTGGCGTCATCAATATGAGATCTAGTAAAGATGATTCGGGGTTCATCTCGAACTTAGTTGCCCCTTTCTTAGGTTGCACAGGTAATGACCACGTCAGGTGGTTTCGTTGGAAGAAAACTCCTGACAACTAAGTTCTTCGATTTTTCTGCCAATCGTAGGTGAATTAAGTTCTCATAAAATTAAATATCGGCCGATTGAATAACAAGCCTTTAATTCTCCTCGCGACAATACATTTGTAATAGCTTAGGTTGTTTGGTTGAGAGTTGACCTCAAACAACCAAGCATATGCCAAAACAGTATAGTTCAAGTATTCATTCACTTCCTTATTTTGCATAGGCGTTATATTTATAGCGCGAGGGTTACCTTAAGGCACGAAACATTCGCTTTACAGTTTGAACTGAGGCAAACCAAACTAGTTAGCAGCTCTTATCCTTTGCATTTCAGGCGAAAACTAATACGAACGCTCCACCCCTATGGGATATGTTATCGATGGTGGTAAAAGGGAAATTACTCTTAAAGACAAAGAATACTCCGCCTTCTTTACACTTCTGCGTTCTTTTAGCTCTTACCCATATGAGATTTTGAAGGTCATGTTCTCTATTGTCCACAGGCTGGATCACCCAAATTTCGATGACAACGACCACATCCGGCTTGAAAGCGTTTGTCTGGACAAATCGCTGGGTTAGGTTGTTGGGCAAGTTCTGGGCATTTCTGAAACGAACACGAAGTCCATTTAAGTGGCTTCTTGTTTCACCCAAAGTGACTTTGAAATCACTAGTTGTCGAAGTCTCATTATGTGAAATTTACACTCTTAAGAATTTTCTAGCCAACAACTTATCTTAGCTTTAGCTTTTATATCTTCTTTTCTTCTAATTAGTCCGATCATGACGAACTCTTATCAAACCGGTTTCATTCTCAAATCGGATTCTGAGGTCATGGCTATCGCTCTCCTTGACTCAATGAAAGATGACTGACCGGTCACTATGATTAGCCATCAATTTTGCAACTAAGATGAGAAGAGTCGCCGAAACATTGAAATCTCAACCTATCTGGTAGATAAGTGAAATTATCGGGTTTCATCATGTTACTGTCTCGAAAGGAAGACGGACTTTATGTTTTCTTCATTTTCAGGTTTTTTATGCATCCATATTTCTCTTGAATTTGTCGATTTAGAGAGCGGAGACACCCTGGAGGCAGATCTTAGTTCATCAAACGGTGGGTAGACCCGTATACTATGGAGATTCAGTCCATTTTCGGCTTTGGACTCGCCCACATTTTCCACAGGATTTCATCGACGTGTTCGAAAGAACATGAGAAGATGTATTTTGCTTGAAATTATTTCCTATTATCTGATGCACCACAATCTACCATAGAATAATGTGTAGAGAACTAGCGATCTTTCGAAACCGTTTATCATGGGGTTAGCTGGGATTGTACCGTTAGCAGTTCCAAGATATCGTGTCAGGAAATTCAAGTTGGCTTTTTAATAGAGGCTTGCTGCGTGCAAGCTGTTTTTAGATTTAAACCTCGCTGTGGCTCTGCGGAGTTTGGTGAATATATTCTTATTTTACTTGGCGCAAGACCTTCTTATTGCACACACTGTTAACAAATCTTTAGTTATTACAGAAAGTTAATCGCGGAATTTAAAATATGAATTACCACTGATAAGAGAGTTAAATGTACGAAGTTTTGTCAAAGTCTCGCCTAAGCCAGCGTCAATTTATTCGTTCTTAAAAAATCAATCCAATTTCCCCCTACCAATAGGCTTTTTGTGATCGATTATGTTTCAAAATTCCTTGTGTGTACTTCATCTAACGGACAGTAATTTTATGGATGCATTGTAAAATTTCTGAAACTGTGTTTGTGAAATTAATATGCCTATATTTTGATGAGTGGTCTTTAGACTCTGTTTTGGAAACCTTAGTGAATATCACATCTTTAACGTTTATTGGTGAAATCGTTATTGAGAAAGAAATACAACATCTCGTAATTTAACTAGTCGACATAAGGCGTAATTTATCGGCAACTGCCAACTTCAATGAATCTTAAGTACATAGTGCCTTCAGTGCTCCCTTCTTTCTAAATTTCGCACTTCACAGTTTTTCTGTCATCGTTTTTGCCACCAACTCTTAGTTCGGACACATTTTTGGAGAGTAAATAAATATATAACCCTCATTCCGGGTAGTTTCTTTCCGCTTAAAACCCATCCGCTTCTATCGTTGGAGTGGGAATCCTCTGATTGTCTCCCTAGTTTTATGAATGCGATTTGACAAATTTAATTTGAACATTCTATTTGGGGTCTCGGAATTCCCTTGGAACATTTATTGAGATTTAGTCATAAAAATTTGCTGTATAGAATAAGAAATATCTTGCCTTGACATCGTAGCGTTTTGGAATCAGTAAGCATTGCATCTTGAGATTAATTCACCTAGGACTGTGACAGTAGATAAACTACCAAAATAAATAGTTCTGTAAGTCTTTGAAACTGGTCCTGACCTTATTATTTTTACTGGACTTACCCTGGCTGAAGGCGATCGTTCCTACATCCACAGCAAATCACAGATTCGTACATCGTGCTACTCATCTTTCGCAACTATTAACCGGCTTAAATTGAACGCTTCTGAACATATCGACAACCTTCCAAATATATCTCCAAACTCATTCATCGTTGACTTCTGATTTGACTGGGTTGGTATCCTCCGATTATAAGTGTCGAAAAGTTACGAAATTATTTATTTCGGGGATTCCTTTTCTACTACGGATCATTGTCACCAAGTCTGATACATAGACTGAATAATAGCCAACTGATTGAAAGAAGTCATATCCACATACTTGCAACACTCATTTAGCTATTTTACTTCTCCACGGTGAATAAATTACCGTCAGCAAAGAGCCGACATCTAGGCGCAATCCAATGCCAATGTGTATACTAACCGAAGGTAACTAGGTACACTGAAATAGAGTCAGTGTTTAAAGTCGATACGACCAATTTGCCTGGAGGTATTAGTGATCAGTTGCTGATAGACACGGAAGCCAAAGAGCGAAAGCTTCTCACATTCCGTCCAAAACCATTTGAAGCACTTAAACCATTTGCAAATAAAGCTAGTTTCACGTTCGCACTTGCATTGGATAGGTATTAAATAACGTATTGATTAGCGGTAGTTTTGACTAACTTTGTTACACTACGAGATCCTACTCAAAACTAGCAAAATGCCGTTTATGCAAAGGAGAGTGTACAAAATGGACAAAATGCAGAAGGCAGAGGAAAGAATCAAGTCTAATCCCTGGGATATCGAGGCATGGAGTGTTTTGTTGCGTGATGCTCAAAGCAAAAAGATTGATGATGCAAGGGAAGTTTTTGAACGTATTGTTACACAGTTCCCGGTAGCTGGTCAGTATTGGAAGATTTATATTAATCAAGAGGTAACTTAAATGCTTTTTAGGCAACTTTTCAGATGAAAGCCAAAAATTATGAAAGGGTCGAAAAATTATTTCAGCGTTGTCTAGTTAAGATACTAAACATTGACTTATGGAAAATATACTTGCAGTATATTAAGGAAACTAAAGGAAAGCATCAATCTTTTAAGTAAGGGATATACTTAGTCTGACCGCTTTTCACTTTAGGGAGAAAATGGCACAAGCTTATGATTTTACTCTGGATAAAATGGGCTTAGATCTTAATTCTTATTCAATATGGGCAGACTACATATCCTTTCTTCGTTCAACGTAAGTACTTTTTTCTCGGTTGTGTAAAGTGAATTAACTATGTGTATAACAGAGTGGGTTTTTGTTTGGATGCCTCTAACCTAACAAGTTGAACCTATTCTAGTTTGGAAAACAACATAGAGTCGATCTGACTAAAATTACTAGTATTGTTCGAGCAACTGTAGACGTTTCAGGTCGAAGTTTTCGGTTCTTAGCATCTTGTGTTATAATGAGATTTTGTTAAATAAAAAATTGAGGGTTTCGATACCGTTAATCGACTACTGAGAAGTACAAAGTCCATCTGTCTGGGTCTCAGAAACCATCGAAGTATGTCATTAAATAGCTACCTATTTTGATCCCCTTAATTCAGGATACGGGTCGATAGTTTAAGGTTTTCCAGAGTAGTTTTTATCCCTTAATTTGTAGGTTTTGTCCTTTAAGCCATTTTTACACCATCTCATTTCTCTCATGTGAAAGAACTTGTCTAGGTTCAGTATAAATAGGTTTTGTTTGGATACTATCGACCTTACACGTTTCTGTTGTAAGTTTTATTGAGTTTCAGATATCCCATTCCCGTGTCTTTTGAAGTAAAGCAGTGGATCGACATGATTCTGTTGGACATATATTTTATGCAACTCATCCTTTCACGAATAGTTGAAAAAACGAAAGCCAATTTCCATATGGTCAGTTATTTATAGGAATATCACTTGATTCGAATCAACGGGTGTTAGTACTATGGATATAATCATTGGGAATCTAGATGCTAGCAAAAATTCAAATAACCTGAATGTTAATTCAGCGGATTAGTGATACATATGTATGGTCAGTTATTTAATGAACTATGTGTTAAGTGTACTGTAATTAATGCATTTCACCCTAATTTCACGAAACTTCATCTTGATTGGGTAGTTGTGAAAAGTATAGCATAACTGCGAACAGGAAGTTATGTTATATTTTATGATTTTTGTATAGTCAAGTTCAAGGTTCATATGCAGAAAGTCAAAAAATAACTGCAACTAGACGTGTGTACCAACGTGCAATTGTTACACCTATGCTTGGTATCGAAACTATTTGGCGTGATTATTGCATGTATGAAAACTCAATTAATCCTCTTATCGCGAAAAAGTTTACCGAGGAACGTAGTCGGGACTATATGAACGCACGTCGTGTAGCTAAAGAATATGAAGTTATTACAAAAGGACTGTCCAGAACTATGCCGTCAGTGCCACCCCAAAATACACCGTATGAAGCTAAACAGGTGAGTTCATATGGTATGTTCTAATTTTAATTAAGTCATTTGCCAGTTATTTGTGTAACAGCCACATCCGGAGGGGTAATAATATTACCTGGTTGCCCAGACTAAAGCAGATCAAACGGGGTTCGAACCTGAGACTAAACGTTAAACGCCATAACTACTAAGCTACCACATCACCATATGGTGTGTTAAAGTATTTACTGCAAGACTTCTCTATGACGTTTATAGTTCCCTAATGGTGAAAGGACCTGAATATTTGTTCACAGACTTGAACCCTGCTTTGCAAGTTCTGGCTTACTTTTTAGTTAGTAGGACCAATATGCATAAGAATTAGTCATGCTTTCACTGGTCTACAGTTCCTATTAGTCTGCGTAGTTTATATCCCCACTCAAATGCATGATGTCAATAAAAATGAGCGGAATAACATTAATCTATCAGACTGAATAACCTATTTTATCGTTACTCAACTTGTATAATAGAGGTTACACAAAATAGTTCAAAGCAGTTGTCTTCGATTGCTTAACCAATAACTTGACCCGTAGTAATTTATCAGTGAAAATAGTTGGTCATTGTTATCTATTAGAAGTAATAAATTCACCAAAAGACTCATGAGTTCTAATTTTGAAGCGCTCGTTCATAAGTGATGTATTTGCAGGGTCTTTTCTTAACAAACCTGTATTAAAAATTTATTTGCAATATAGGTCTTAAAGTAAAGCAAGAATTTGTTTATTACCTTATGTCAATTCAAATTAAATACACTTGTATTAAATCTATCTGATATGACGAGATGAAAAGTCAAAATTACGTTCTTTTACTCATTATGATTTTCCATTGCTTCCGTTTTAATTCAATGTGATAATTATTCGGTGTAGAATTTGGTTTTCTTTTCCCGTATGATATTTTATTCTGTATAACATATTCTCGTATTAAGTTAACATAAACTATACTCACCATGTGATTTGTTATAACTGTAAGTATTTTTGATATATGTGATTTCGTACCAATTAATAACCAAAACGTGTGTACAAATCAATATATAAATGAATGTATTTTCGAGTATTGTGGTAGTCGTGTTTTGGGTTTAGTAAACCTTCACTTGTACAAGTCCTTGTGTTCTTACTTTCGCGTCTTGGGAATCGCAGTGGTTCTTCGTTTTACAAGTATAAGTGATAAGCGATTCCGATATAACAATTAGCGACGAGCAGATATAACAATTGTTGACGTAGTCATAACAGTCGACCACCAATCATAACACTATCAATTTATTGGATAAGTTTTTTGATCGAAATTTCCTCCGACCACTTTGAAAATTAAGTTTCCAGTAGTTGCTCTGTGTGTAATTAGTCTTGGTCATACGTTTATAATTCGTTTGAAGTTAACACTCTGGTTCTATCTAAATTTTTACACTGCTTTGTACTTTGTTTTTAAGGTCGAACTATGGAAGAAGTATATTCAATGGGAAAAAGATAATCCATTGAAAACAGAAGATATCATCACAGTCACAAAAAGAGGTTGGTAGTGTTTTTAAAAGTACCAGAAAACCTTTAGTAAAAGTAGTACTTGTTCTTGAGGTTAGGAACTTCATTTACAATCTTTGTTTGATCCTCAATGACCTTAGATTTTCAGTCATTGGTGTCCGATTAGGGAACTTACCCAGGGTCCTTCATATGCCCTAAACTGTATGTTCTCAGTCACGAATTCACACTAGGAAACCATTTATTTTTCCAACGATTATATATGGTTATTACTATTCATAATCTATAGTGATTCCCTTTTGCTAAAGAATGACTGGGACATAAAAAATCAAGCTGAAAAAATGATATATATTGGTATTTCCTTATTCTGAAAGGCTTTCACCAGCTCATTACTCCTAACCACTTTGATCATCTATTCTTGTGCAATAGTTTTTGTGTGAAAATCAGCATATTACGCTTTGGAGAGGATGGAACCAACCAGTAGTAGGGTTGTACAAAATACGGAGGATGATGGGAAATGAATTCAGTTGTGTTTCTTCGAAACATTGCTTGTATATCCTGGAACCACCGAGTAAGTAATGCAATTGTTAGGAAACGGGTACTAGGTAAGGATGGCAAATCAGTTGATGAAGTAGTGGAACTTCATGGCTCAAAATCGTCTGCAATGACGCAGGTGCATCCACTCTTTGTGTTCTCCCAAATTCTAATCTTCTGAATTCTTCATGTCCCTTTTTTACTCTTTCCAAATTTATTTTTCTAGATGGTACTCTTTGAATAACATCTTCAAACCTTAATCTTCCCGATTACTGCCCATACTCTTACTATCTCTACCACTATTGGATTTTGATCGACAACTGCATCTTTGTGCTAATATGGTATGACAACTCGAACTGATGTACGTACGTACGAAGTTCTACGTTGTTACTGTTTGACTGTGCTTCTGCGATCGATTTTGAGTCATCTCATTTAGCTTCTGTGACTGTAGACTAGGACTGTTGCGTGGGTCCCAGTCAGGAAGTTTGCGTCCATCAGATAGTCAGTCAGTCAGTCAGCTACAACGTAGGACCAGGCACATATATGCATCTGTCCAAGTTGCCATACCTTATTAACACAACAAGATAAACACCGGATTCATAAAAGTAGTTAATTTAGAGGTGGTAATAAATAAGAGGAAGATTGCATATAGAGATATAGTACAAGAAGAAAGAATTGGTTCGTAGAAAGAAAGATATGAATCAATTTTAATCTCTTAGTTTAAGAGAAGATAAAGAGTGTATACACCGACGCCATTGTGATCGATTCTGAGCCATGTCACCAAGAGTCTCCAACCATTGGTTACGACAGTCACGCGGACCCCAACCAAGTAGTCTGCATCTACCAACATGGCTCAAACTAGAAGTTAGTGTCTTCAAGCACTGATGCCACGTTTTGGTTTGGCCGCCCCTAACTTTCTTCCAACCATCTCCAATACCGGATAGCATTGCACGTCGTGGTAATCGGTGTTCAGGCATACGTAACACGTGGCCCAACCATCTCAGTCGATGAAGATTCATAACCTCATCAACTGATTTACCATCATTTCCTAATACCCTGCGTCTAACCTCACTATTACTTACCCGGTGATCCCAGCAGACGCCAGCAATATTTCTAAGGCATCTGTGGTCAAATACTAGTAGCTTACGAGTGTCTTCTACTCTTAATGGCCATGTTTCGCTGCCGTAAAGTAAAACAGAACGGACTGCCGCTCAGTATACTCGTCCTTTTATTGATAGACGGATATCTCGCCTTCGCCAAAGGTGACGTAAGTTGGCAAAAGCCAAGCGAGCTTTTCGAATCCGTGCTGAGATTTCGTCAGACACCAACCCATTAGGGCTGATCAGACTTCCAAGATAAGTGAAGTTGTCAACGCGTTCCACTACTTCATTCCCTATCCTTAGTTCAGGTGTTGACGCAGACCAGTCCTGAAGCAACAACCCGACCATTGTTGCTACCTTGACGTGGTGGTCGGGCTTGCCTATCGTGATGAAGCAACCGAGCTATACTGGCTGGAACAACCGTTCCTCAAGGTCCTACCATGTCAGACAGGTCGGTTGAAGAGCGGTAAGACTAAAAGCAACAAACCCAAGGTCCGAAGGCGAAGTCGTACTGCTGACTGTACAGAGGTGTGACAGCAGTAAGGTGTTTCCTTCAGACAACCAGCATGACAGCGATGCTGCCTTCCCACAAGGAGGGGTGGGGTTAGAAAAGGTCGACCCTAAAAATGCACACCTCACCTTACCTCACGGATTTCCGTCTCCGGCGGTAAGGCCCTTTGAAGAACGGAGCTAACACGTCAAAAACCTCCCACGAAAAGGCCGTGCGCGACCGGCCTCAAGCAGTTGTCCCTTGGGCACTGCGGTCACGCTCTCAGGTCACTGAGACCACCTCTAATCCAATTTCCTTTTCAGGTACCTCCAGAAGAACCCTTCCACGGTGTGGGCAACCGGGAAGTGATAACCGCCCTCATACCTCTAACAGCACTCGAGACCACTGTATTCATAATCAACCTTCCTCTTCAATTCCTATTATTCCTCCTACATCGACTTTCAACTCTAAACTTCCTCTTTCGGCTTCCTCCTCAAGTGTCACCATAGCCAACGATTCTAGTGCTCAAAACTCTGTCCCAGGTCTACTGAAACCTCGCTCCAAACTACACATTGGAGCCTTCAACGTACGCACCCTATGTCAAATCGGTCAGCAGGCTTCCTTGGCTAAAACCCTAGAGTCTCTTTCCATTGATGTATGCTGTGTCTCCGAAACACGCATACAGGATTCCAGTGTGGTCATTCACTTGACCTCACCTCGGCAAAGCACCTCGTGTATCGGCCCGGCCTTGGGGGGGGAAGGGGAACAAGCACTGCTAGAGTGGATCCCCGTCAACAGTCGTCTATGTGCTGTTCGGCTAAACGGCTCCGTAAGAACTCGGAAGGATAGGGACACACGTCGTTGCCTTTTCGTCGTTTCTGCCTACGCTCCCACTGACTGCAGCTCAGATGAAGTGAAAGATGAATTTTACAGAAAGCTTTCTGAACTTCTTCAGAAAGCTAAACGCTCAGACATAGTACTCGTAGGGGGGACTTTAATGCTCAGATAGGTAGCTTAAACCAAACAGAAAGGCATTTAGGTGGATATTTTAGCATTCCGGCACAGCGAACAGATAATGGTGACCGTCTGCTGCAACTGTGCTCAGACAATCGCTTATTTTTAGCAAACACAAATTTTAAGCATAAGGAGAGACATCGTCTAACATGGCGACCCCCTACACCAAACCAACGATGGACTCAAATAGACCATATTGCCATCAGTCATCGTTGGAGAGGGTCGGTAGAAGATTGTCGCTCATTCTGGAGTACCTGCTTGGACTCCGACCATGCCCTAATACGGGCACGCATCTGCTTGCGCCTCACTGGACGCAAAAAAGCCACATTAAAAAGACCCATTAGAACTGAATTGAGCAGTGAGAAAACCAAAAGTAGGTTCCAGGAACAACTGAGGTCACAATTAGGTAGTTCTGAAAACGAGGCTGACCCAGATGTTGCTTGGAAAGATACAAGCAGCTGTGGAAACAGCAGTGACATCTATTAGCGACTTAAACCACAGAGTTACAAAGAACCAGTGGATTTCTTCAAGGTCTATCACACTGATGGATTCTCGCAAACTCGTCCCATCAGGTTCCGAACATGATGAAGAGCGACAACAAATCAGATCTAGGTTAAGAAAAAGTCTAAGGAACGACCGTGAGCAGTGGTGGGCAATGAAAGCAAAAGAGATGGAAAAGGCGGCGACTATAGGGAACACAAGACAGCTTTACAGACTAATAAAAGAAACTGGAATTAATAAGTCAAGTGTAAGTGAGATTAGTTCGGAAAAAAGACGACACCCTCATCATCAGATAGTTCAGTCCAACCGTCAGTAACTTTGTGGTCTGATGGGCACTCTTGGCTTTTCTCCAACCTATCGTTGATAAAATTCTACAGATTTATCATTTGACTTACCATTCCTACCGAAAACCCAACAATCACTCTCAAATCAGCTCACGAACGAGGATTTTTGTTGAAAAGGGTGATGAAGGCAATTTTAATAATAATAATAATAATAATAATAATAATAATAATAATAATAATAATAATAATATGAAAACGCTAATTTAAATAAATCTCTTCAGCGTAAGAACTGTCGACGTGCTGATAAGCGGAAACCTAGCTGAATGTTTCATTAATTTTGTTATGCATTCAAGCACAGGTTGGTGCATGAGCTATGAATAATCATTTGGTATTGTAGCTACATTAGGAGTTATGGTTTAATAGACACTGAGACGTATTATAACCATTGCCGCTTGGTAACTACCGTATTGCTACGTTATCGGAAAGCTAACTTTTAAAAAATGTCATTATTAGTTGCATAAAAGTTTCATTATATATATTGTTTACTTTCAGTAATGTTTGCCTATGAGCAATGTCTTTTATGTCTTGGACATCATCCAGATATATGGTATGAAGCTGCTAGCTACTTGGATCATGCAAGCAAAATTTTGGTTGAAAAGGGAGTACGTACTTATATACTTTGTGTGTAATATTTACCAATCATTTAGTAACTAATTTTTCAGTGTATTGTGATTAAATAACACAAATCAACTTTATGGTTTTATTCTAGTATAATATACGCAGTTTTGTTGTTACTTATTTGCCAAGTATTGGCGTACACACTCTACCATGCCTCACTTTTTATGTATGTGTAAAGTCTAGTATTAATATTTGGTTACAGGGACCGTTACGTAGTAGAATTTCAGTCCTACTCAAAATATGAATTATATATATGGAAGAATCGTGATCATCAAACAGTTTCGTTATATTTGATGAAAACCTTTTGTGTTTTCTGATAAATTTTCTACTTGTTGCCATTTTTTTGTAAAAGGATCAAACAACAGCTAGACAATTTGCCAACGATACAGCGGCAATGTATGAACGAGCTATTGCTTTACTCAAAACAAATATGATGTTATATTTTGCTTATGCCGATTATGAAGAAGGTCGATGTAAGTACGCAAAAGTTCATTCTATCTACAAGAAGTTAGTTTCATTGGAGAATATTGATCCGACACTAGTGAGTGAGACATTTTTCTTCCTGGTTTTTTATTTATTTTCTAAGTTTACTTTGTTATAAAGTCGGCAGTCAACTATCATGATTCAGCAGTCTAGTTTTTGATATCATTCACTACAGAAAACATTAGTTAAGTTCTTCGTTACATTTGTGAAATTCCCATCCACTCGCCGGCATTTTTGTAAACGTTTACAGTTTTTCTAATTAAGCTACCATAACATGTGTTTGATATTGCACTGTAATCAAACTCTATTTGCAACCTTCTCCACGTTCCAGTTGAACATTTTTCTCGAATTATCACTGTTTAAATAATTTACAGCATAATATCAGCCTTTATAATTTGTGTAAATACTTTTTGGAAATTGAGTAGTGTATTTTTCATTATAGCCGTAATGTAATCAGTATGTTGAAGTTTTTCATAAACTCACATCAAATAAAAAAAACTTGAAAAAAGTTTCAACTGCAACTGAAGGTGACAGATGTTCACTTAGAACATGCTTTCAGTGTAATTGATAATCAGTCAATACAGATAATGTGAACAAATTATTCCGAAATCGAGGTTGACCTATTCTAGTAAATGGAACTTCGTCTTGCTTTTGAATCATCCTTTTGTCTTATGGAAGAGTGAAGGCATTTCTTCAGTTAAGTGATATATATTATCGTGCTAATGAGTGAAGTCACTTAATATTGTGGCTATGTATGAATATTTAGTATAATTGTGGTAGTACAGAAATAATGCACCTCACTTACCAAGATAAGTTTACCTACTCGGATTTGAGCTAAGCACTTAGTACTTGTGGTACCACCCTTTGACTCTTCAAACAGGAGTAACTAGAGCGGTATTCGGACCTGCCATTTGCTAGACAAAGGCTAAGTGCTTTTCAATCTCTAAGTTACTGCTTCATGTAAGGTTTTTACTTACGATGCCTGACTTATAATTGAGGGTATGTGAATATGTATCAGTTCTTTACTTATTTAACTAATATTTAATATTTTTATAATTTTGCGAATTGTCATCTATATAGTTGTATATTAATTTTGTTGTGAAGAGAAATACAGGTTGACTGTATAATCTGAATTATGTCCTTTAATTTATATTCTAGCCTTATATACAATATATGCGATTCGCCAGGAGAGCTGAAGGCATAATGTCTGCTAGATATGTGTTTAAACTAGCTCGTGATGATTCACGCATTACTTATCATGTTTACTGTAGTGCTGCATTAATGGAATATTTCTGTAGTAAAGTAGGTGTCTTTTGTTCTCCTTTTATAAATTTGTATTTTATTGTATGTGTATATGTGGTCCCCAATAAATACTCGGCAATTCATCATCACGCTTTTGTTGAAACTTGGGAAAAACTCCTAGGTAGTTTATAAAATATGTTGGGTTTTTTCAATAGAGTTAAAGAATAAAAGTGAATCAAACATCTCGAGGGGAGTCATCACTACTGGGAGTATAATACAAATCCAAAGGGAACATCAACTTCCTGTGTTAATGAAAATATTGAATGTATGCTATCCTTTGTGCTTTCTGATAACTGATTCACTATTCTTATGAACTTAATTTGGGAAAATCGTTTACGCAGACGGTCCTAAAAATACTTGCAGTTAAAAAGTTAGGTCTCTAAAATGCTTGTCTTAATAGGACTTCAGGCGGTGTTTCAAATGATGGGAATGAGGCAGTTATATTGTCGCAAATGAAAAGCATTTCAAAGGGTATCGAAATGATGTACCCTGTATTTTGTAAATTAGCGTTTCTGTAACTTGTGGTCGCATATGTTACTATTTGGCTATTAAAAATAAATTTCATTATAATTATAAGAATAATTTCCATCATGATTTTTAGGAATCCATCTAGTGTTTAGTGATGTACCGACATAATTATCCTCCATCCCACTGCACTGCCATTAACCGGCCATCTTTCTATGCTTTCTTCAAAAGCAGTGCTTATTATGAAGACTACTGGGTTGACACAATCTCCGAGACCAATGTTTCAAAATCATCATGACAACACCTACTGAATGACGACCCTCATACATGTTGAGTACATTGTATTTTCTATTTGCATATAGAAGACATTTTTTTAGGAGAGTAAAATCATTAAACATGGGAACTCATATTTTGTCCCATATATTTTCCCGTGTAAACAGTTTTCGAACTGTTGCTAATTCATCCTACGTCCATTATTTGTTTTCTATTTTCTGGTAACTTTTCTTGTTTGTTTATTTGTTCTTTTCCACTTCATCATACTAGGATAAAACTATTGGACATAAAATATTTGAGTTAGGCATGAAACGTTTCGGTGGTATTGCGGAATATGTATTGTGCTATGTTGATTTTATGGCACATTTAAATGAGGATAATAATATACGAGTGTTATTTGAACGAGCTTTAGGATCAAATCAAATTACACAAGAACGTGCACGTCTTATATGGGCTAGATTTCTACAATTTGAATCACAGGTAACTGGATAATTTTTTTACGTTCGTTTTTATTCAATATTTGTATTCTACATATTCTTGTTATAAAAAGTAATTTACTCATGTTACCTACATACTTTAAAATCTACAGTAATTGAATTTAAGGAAATAAAACCATTCCCCAACTGATTATAATTTTCTGTGTAGGAGTGAGGCGAGTTATGAAGTGTGCTGAATATGTAATTTTACATGGTGGATTAATTTCATTTAGACGACCATGGGAAACCGAGAAACAGTGGGTATTTATTTTGTTATAGCATGGGATTGTTTAACAGACAAAATCAACATAGGACGCACAGGTGTGCGATCGCAGTGGTCGTTCATGACTCCACTAAAGATCGAACCCCAAGACCTTCAGGCCTCACGTCAAGCGCTTAACCTTGAAACTAATAAATTTGGTTTGGAGCTATTGATGTTTGATTGGAGTTTGAGTGTGTACACCATCATTGGGGAACGTTTGCATCGCATGTTTATAACCTACTACACCTAATGTTGCAGTTTGGATGACAGGTTATTATCAGTAGTCCTCGCACAAATAGTGAAACTTAATGGCGAAATTATTATGCATGCACTCAATAAATGAAATATATTAATTTTTAAATTACTTCCTTACTGTTATTACCATTATTTTACTGTTTTTTTTTCAACAGGTTGGTGATTTGGCTAGTATTCTGAAAGTGGAAAAACGACGTTTACAAGCATTGGATAGTTCGAAAGAATTTTCAAGATTAGAAACCGCACTTCTGATTGATAGATATCGTTTCCTAGATTTATTACCATGTACAGATTCAGAGCTTAGATCTTTGGGTTATCGAGTAAGTGTATGTTCATCTGTTTATTTTGTTTGTTTTCTTTTAGAATTGATGATACCATCACTTTTTGTGTGATGTGAATACTATTTAAAACAATTACCATTTAATTTACTTTATAGGAACTGACTCGCTTTCAGCTGGCTGGAATTGGCAAAGGTTATGATGATATATTGTGCGGTGTGATCTCTTCCCATGGAGCTGCTGGGGTCTCTTTAGGATCCACACTATCTGGTGTCTCTGGTGGTAGTGCGGGCGTAGTCGTAGGTGATGCTCTTGGTTCAACAATCAATGGAACTGACCCAAGGCCAACTTATCCGCAGCCTGATGTCAGTCAGATGTTACCATTTAAACCGAAAGCTTATCCACGTACTGGGAGTCACCCAGTAGCTGGTGGTGAATTCCCACCACCACCGGCTGCTTCCTCTTTACTGAAACTAATTCCACCGCCACAATGTTTTCACGGTCCATTTGTTGATGTAGATAAATTTTTGGAACATTTCCTAGAATTGGAAATCCCTGATGGTAAGTGGATTTAAATATATTGATCCATCATTACAGCAAATGGAAATTTATTTAATAATTATCATTCATCCACTGTTTTATTATTTTACCATTGTTTAAACCTATGCTGATATATCACATCTCAGACCTTAGCTTACAAACCGTTAAAAGTCAGGAGTCGTTGGACAGTTATTTATCCTAGTTTGGGACTCTGTATTGGGTTAGCTTTGTTGTGCTAATTGTATCATTTGTGTTTATGTACTATTTGTAGACAAAAAATATTAATGTCTATCGTTTTGTAAAGGTCTGTCACAAGCTAATCAATCAACTTTTTTGTCGGTATCATTTTGTGAAATTATCGAAACTATCACATACATACTGTTATTTACATGCAGCAGCAATTTACTTATTTATCTACTTACTCCTGTTACCCCTCGTGCAGAATAGGCCTTTGACCAGCATTCTCTAACCAACTCTGTCCTTTCCAGTTTTTACCAAGTGCTATTCATTCTTCTGAAATCTGTGTCCGATTCCCGGAGCAATATATTCCTTAGTTTGCCTCTTCTCTATTTTCCCTTGAGGATTCTAGGTTAGTACTAACCTCGCAATGGAGTTTGGTGTTTTCCACAATGTATTTCTTTTCCACCTCTAGTGTCTTTCCTCAATTTCTTCTTCATCTAAAAGCTGGTTTGTTCTTTGCCACAGTAGGTCCTTGATAATTATGTCTGGCCAATGGATCTGGAGTGTCTCGTATAAACATCGGTTCAGTAATGCCTGTCCCTTTTTAATGAGTTATATTAGTTCCCCCGATTTCCGTTCCGTACCATGGGACTGGTATTAAAAAATTCTGATTTTGATGTTGACTGACAGTTGTTCTGAGTTCCTTAGTTGTGGGAATAGTACCATTGCTCTTAGCAGTCTGTGCCTTCACATCTGGATCAGATCGCCTTTGTTTACCAACTGTAGTTTCCGGTTATGTAAAAGTTTACACCTCTTCCGGAGCATCGTCATCAAGTGGGATTTCGTCGACGCTCACAGTATCGTGATTAGGGGTTTCGCTTTTTCCCTTGCAAATGTCTGGGCCTACTGTTACAGAATCCGGTGCTACACCGGTTATCTTCACCTTCATTTCTCGCTGTTTATGAGACGATCTTCTTAGGCACACCATAGTGTCTAAGAAGCTTTCATACGGCACTCCTATCCGTCCAGTCAAATGATTTCTCATGTCCAACGGTGATCCGTTATGATAGTAACTAAAAAGTCACAAGTCGATCACGACCGAATAACTGTTTCGTGTAGATATTTAGCCTAGGTTCAAGTGATATGATACATGCTCTTACATAGTTTTCGTATATGGAAAGAGGCACTAATAGAGGTAGATTCCAATTCGTGGTGGAAATATTTCCACGAACCATTTGTGTAAAGAGCATCATTTTGTCTTGTAATGCCATTATGTTTACGGAAATACTGTTTCTGTACAGTTAAAATTCTTTTTAACTTGAGCTTCTATTGTTTGCGTGATAGTTGAAAACAGAAAACGAATATAGACTCACTTCTGTTTCTTGTGTGATCATTTTAAATTCATGTTTCTCGATGAGATATTTGATCAGTTTTATTACTATTATCATTATTTACCCGTTAAAGTAAATCTGTTGACAATTATTCTGTGTCTTCATTCTGTCAAGATTATATGGAAGTTGTTGCAGGTGAATCTGAAGAATTAGCTACAAGTATTGACTCTGGTACAGCTTTATCCATTGAATTGGCTAGTACAGCGACTTCCGCTGCCCCACTTTTATTGGCTGCTCGTAAACGTCGACAGCAAATAGCTTTAGATAGTTTAGCTGGACATGGTAACCGTGCTTCTGTGGCTAATCAATCTAAATTGCGTAAACGAACAAATCTAAATGCATTTGGCGACTCTGAAGATGAGAAGAAGAGGATGATGACGATGATGATGATGATGATGAAGATGAACGTGCAGCTGCCTTATTAGGGGGTCAGATTCTTGGCTCTGGGTCAGAGTTAAGAAATCCTTTGTCGGCTGCTACTCTCGGCTGTAATGTACCTATGGATTTATATAGGTTACGGCAAATGCAAAGAGCTAAATAACGTATTTTTAACGTTTTCCTCCTTTGAGGGGATTCCATTTGTATAAAGTTTGTACTCCCTTTAAAATATTGATAAGTTTTTGTAATTTTATCAATAAATGTTTCTTTATTTAGTTTCACTTTTGCTGGTTGTGTGGTTCAGCTACATTTCCTGTTCAAATAGACTTACATTAATTTACTGTGTGAAATCATTGTATCGAAGACGAAAATGATCTTATTATCTTTATTGATAAAGTTCACAGAAAGTATGATTGTTTTAAGTTTCATGGCAGTCTAATTGTTTCCATTCCATATACAGGACTAACCTGTTAAGTAAATGAACCGAATAAGAGTGTAAGGTAGCTCAGTTATGTTGCAACAGATAGAAGCTGATACAAGGTGTTTATTATAGTGATGGACGAAAAGTTGAAGCAGTGAGTATTTCTTTCGAGGATAGAAATGTCATAAGATACGGTCATTTGCGTTGCTAGGATAAATATTAAGTCAGTAATGTTTCGTCGTTCAGTGATGCTTCAACTCCATGGTCCGATCAGCGTTGGACTGAGATCTTAGTTGTGTATGTGGTAAGGTAAAATACCAGGTACTAAGAGCGTGGTCAGGAGAATCAAATGGTGTATAGCGCTTACATTGATATTCTACGAATGTTTGTTACATGGTCTAACAACGAAGAAGTGACTTGAACTCTCAACACTACTTTCAACAAGCAGCTACATCAGGATGACGGGAGTACAAAGAGACCACTACAATGGTGCTGATCATAGAGCTAAATGCGAACCTTGTAGCATCCCACCAGGATCTGTAAATAATGATGTGACATGAAAATCCATGAGAGTGAGCTTATATCCTTTTTATTATTCACATTTGACTAATCAATCTGAATGAGCGTGCAAATTATTGGTCCACCGACTGTTGTTGTAATGAATCCAAAAATGATGAATAACTTTCGTTCTAGAAATTTTTCAGTGACAGACGGGACCCGAGTTAGTGCAAACCAGTTGCACTCCTTGTCCTACGGCGGAACAAAAAGGAAAGGCTATTCAACGACTAAGCGAGTGAAAATCAGCAGTAAACAAGTCGTAAACCACAGTTCTCTATGTTTTTGACATTGATGGTGACCTCATTATTTTTACTAGACACAACCTAGCTGGAGGCGCTTAGTCACTCATTCGCAAAATATCACTGTTGAGCACTCCATGCTATGAATTCCTTACAACTACTAGATCTAACTGCTGCAATACTAACTACTTGTTTGATTGGGCTTTTTATCTTTCGATTATAGGAATGTTGCAGATAAAAATTTTGTGAAATCCTGAATATCCGTGACATCTTTAAACATATAAAATAAGTCTTCAAAGACATCACAATATTGTAAGCGCGGATTTTTTCGGCATTATATTTACCCGTCGTCGTATAGAGGTTTAAAAGACTTCAAAATGGTTGTGATAGGTTATTATTAACATGTGTAGAACAAGTAGAGCAGGAGGTCCCAATTTGAGCACACAAACTTCTAAACATAAAAGCGATAAATTGATAGATTAAGACAAACCTGGAAATTCATCCTATTACTCTTGTAAAACAATTACGAAATTAAAAATAAATATGTAGTTAACACAAATATTGGGTCGTACGCGGGTGTTCGGTCTGACGAAATGCTGTCAGTCTGGAGGGGAACAGACATGGTTTAAACATCATGGGAACAAATATATTAGAATGGGGAAGCATATATCAAAAAAATCCCACTAGAAGTTGAATTCACTACTTAACCCTATCAAATATGTGACCCTGAGCCTGGGACGACCACTTTTGACAGCGTCGTTCATAACCGCGTATACAGATATTGTTATGTGATAAGAAGTGGTAATAAACAAAATTAACTCGTTGAAATCATATGAGTGATTTATCAACATTTTTGGCGGGCATCTCGGTCTGTCCCATAAAATTTACATTTATCAACTGCTGTGAATGACTTCTGCAACATGTGCAAACTGGTATCTGTTTCTATGGTATCCAATTGTTTGCACAGAAGCCAAGATATGGTGGCACTGTATTGAATACGGAGAGTGAAATAATCGGTCTTATACACCAATAATTTGGTCAGCGTGATATGTATATTACGGTACCAAAAATATATTCCCTAATGCCACTCAGAACCGGGTTGTTGTCGACCTTGCAGATGTTTATGTCAGATGAGTTATAACTATCGCTTGTTATCAGAGCAAAGGAATATGTCTAGGAGTATATGTGGTCTACTGGCAAAGTGTGTGGCCCAGTATTTGTTGCGGGGCGGTACTTTTGTCTAAAAAACCTGCATAGACTATGCTCCACCAAAATCCTGTTAGGATATGACAGTTTGACAGCTTTTCGAGGTCAGGTTTCAGTATGTAAACCATCCTTGGTTTTCACTAAAAACTTTTGTGTAGTGATCTGATTTTCTCACCATTAATGTATAACACGTATAATTTGCAGAATTATTATTTTGACTCAAAATTAGGTTGAAATACCTCCAGGTTTGGACCGAAATCGAGGTAATCAGTAAGCACTAGAGAATATAAGGCACTTACTCGGAAAGTCTTACGTCACAAATGGGATAAAACAACGCAGAACCATCCATTGTCGTGATGGTTTAAGGAACTGTGGTGTTGGTTAATGTTGTTGGACAGGTAGACGACGAACTTAAACGTAATCTGCACAAATGTACTCGATGGTTGCTAGTTTTAGCAGTTTTTCGCCTCGAAATATGTTCATTGTAGCGGTAAACTAATCCCCAAAATTAATAGCTCTGTAAATCTCTGACATTGGATGCTGACCACATTAGTTTTAATGGGCTCACCTAGATGAATGCGCTCGGTCATGCATCCGCAACAGATCAAGAGTGGAAACGCCGTGCTGAACATCCCTTGCAATCGCTAGCTAGATTAAATCAGACGATCTTCGATATATCGATAGCCTATCAAATATATCTTCGAACCTCTCCGCTTCTGTCTTTTGATTTCACTTAGTGGGTACGATTCATAACACAAGGTGCTCAAGGCATCCGACCAATGAGAGGCAAGCCGGCGGCCATCCTGGACTACCAAGAACCAAACACCATTAATCAATTATGCATATTTAATGGCGTTGTAAGTTTCTATAGACGGTTCATACCAAACTGCGCATCCCTTGTGGAACCTCTAACCGACCAACTTTGAGGAAATGCGAAATCCATCAATTTGAATGATACCACGAGAAAGGCATTCTACACGATTAAAAAAATTATCGTAAAAGCAACCATGTTTGTGCATCAGCACACTCAAGCACCCATTAGTATCGCAGTAGACTCATCCGACTCAGCAATCGGAGTAGTCTTACAACAGTGGGTTAACCACATTTGGGGACCTCTGGCATCTTTCCCAAGACGGTTGCTAGACATCGAATCCAAGCATAGCACTTTCGGTAAGGAACTCCTAACTATGTATTGTGCTGTACGGCATTTTCTACACTCTACTGAAGGCCGAAAATTCACCCTTTTTACTGATTATAAACGTCTTACTTTCTCTTTAAGCTCATCTTCAGACAAGTACTCCCCTCGAAAGTCTGGACAACTGGAACACATTTCACAGTTTACTTCAGATATACAATACATTTCTGGAGCAATCAATTTAGTTGCAGGCGCCTTGTCCCGTAGGACATCTTTAAACAGTCTTTAAGGCATTGACCTTATTGAGCTCGAAAACAGGATGCTGATTGTCGGCACGTGTTATCTTCAACAACCCTAAAACTGTGTATTAAAGAGATGGGGAAAGGTAAGAAGACTTTATTATGCGACAAATTTATAGATAAGGATCGTTCAATCGTGTCGAAACATTATCAACGCAACATCTTCCATACGTCGCACAAACCCATCCAGGTGTTCTTGCAACTGTAACAGCTTTGGTTGATTGGTTAAAAGTTGACCTCAAACAACTAAGTATATCAGAAGGGGGTTTGTGTAAATTGTAGCAAAATCAATAGTTGAGATCATTTATCAATTGAAGCTAGACTGCTATGGAAAACCTGGAGGCACTGGACGGCCGTCTCATCCTATTGTGGGACTCCTCAACAGGGCGCATCCATGAGTCCGCCTTGTGATATTCAATATCAGTCTCGCGCGTGAGCGCATGGCCACTAGACTACTGATCCGGCATCCAACTTTGTTAATGCCTAACTTCAACCAACCCATGAAATTGAGCGACGCACCTAGCACAACAGACCCAGTTGTACTCCACTGGTCACTGATCCTGCCTCGCGGGATCGTGGATGCGCACTGCTGGGCAGTCCCACATTAGGATGAAACGGCCGTCCACTGCCTCCAGGTTTTCTATGGTGGTCTAGCTACAATTGACACATGATTTCAACTATTGAATCCAAATATATGTCAAAACAATAGAGTCCATGTATTCATTCACTTCCTTATTTTGTATAGGCATTATGTTTCCTACTATCGTATGTTGAATGCTGAAAAGCTCTGTATGAATGAACAGGGAATCTCATGCTCCATTGTGACTGCTCAAAGATCTATTAAAGACCTATTCACTACTTGTCTGGTTTTTTCTATCAATAGCAAGAGGGTTACCTAAAGGCACGAGACTGGTGAGCCCTGTGAAGTACAAATTTGATTTCATTCCTTATCATAAAATTTATTTTTTAATTAGTTGTGAAAATGAACCTTCTGATTATCTGTAACCAAAGATTGGTATACATATTTATGCATAGTTTTTTATCTTAAAATATTCGTATAGTAGTGATCATTTTTCATGCTCATTATATAACTATTCTGGTCATATATCTCATGTCAGACTCAATACAAAATCCAAAACCTGGAGGATTTATCACCAGTGGAGATAGAAACTGTTATGACTACAAAATTCCGACTTCTAGAATTTGATCGTGGTGACCCTGAGTTACGGTTTGCTCAACTAGAGCATTATCTTACGAGACACAATATCAAATCTGAAGGAATTCGTTGTAGAGACTCGTGTTATATCCTTCCTCCTCTAGTCGCCAAAAAAGTCCGTGACTTGATTTTCAGCCCACTACCACCACAACTAAACACCATGTTAAAACGAGAGATGATGGACCGTTTATCATTATCAG